CATCCCGCACCACAATGTCGCCATCATTACGAGTGTGATAAACGGTTTCGGTTTGTGGAATGTCTTCTGCTACCGGTTGAATGTTTGGTGACAGAGTCTTATCTCATCACGCTCCTTCCAAACGCATGCGTGCGAAGTCTGAAGGGTAGCCGTTTCGCAGCGTTAGTCAAGCTGTGTCCAGCTCTCTCTACCCCCAGATGTGTAATTCATCTCCGTTCTGTAACCTTCTACGACATGGGCACTCCCCGGCCGCCTTCCGTTAACCCAAGAAAGCTTGCCATTTGTCCAGCCCGTTTGCTATCATGGCTGGTCCTCGCCGTAAGACTCAGCCCTCCTGGCTGAGCGTGGGTCGTGGCAGCCCTCCCCTGTTGTTTGTCATCTCCGGTGTGACGGCTATCGTCCCGGCCACCTCCGCGTCTGCCGCGCGGCGAGCGTCGGCGTCGGCACCGGCGGCTCGGGGAGCGGCTTCCGTGGCGGGCCGGTGACGCTCATGGCGCGCCGGGGCGTGCACCGCGTGCGATCCAGGACATTGGACCGTGGGAGGGTGACACGGTCCGGCGGGGCTGAGGCCGCAGTCACGGCCGTGAACTGTTGGCTCACCGGATCACCGGCTGACATGCCGGCTGATAATGCGCCGAGTCAGGGAGCGACAGCCCTTCGGACAGGCTAGGCGAGCCGTCTGGTCTGTAGAGAGCTCTGCCCTTGATGGCGACGGTGACAGGGACGGGGACAGCAGCTCTCTGGACAGACTAGGCGAGCCGTCTGGTCTGCAGGCAGCTCTGCCCTTGATGGTGATGGTGACAAGGGCGGCGAGAAGAATCTGCAGATAGCTCTACCCTCGATGTTGACGGTGACAGGGTGCGCTAGATAAGAACGTATTAAGATGACCAACGTTATACCGATTTGTAAGGCTCTGGTTGAGTCGGAGTGCTCAGGAAAGAAATAATTGCTTTCTCAGGCACAGACACCAAGCTGTAAACATAGCTTGGCTGTCCTAGGTGCCGCTCAAGCGGCATAGGCTCCGACTGAAGTTCATAGTGCATGTGGCGGATTGTAATTTGACCACGTGCAGCACAGGATCACATGCAGCATTTTCCAATCCTGACTCCAGGAGATGCAGCACGATTCTGGACCTGATTCTGAAAGATTTGATTCATTCAAAGATCTGCTTCTGATTCATTCTGTTGACAAGAGTTCAGGAGTTAACTCATTGCTAGGGTCTTATAATCGTGGGGCATCAATGTTGGTAAGAAGACGGGTTCCAAAATGGTCCGCTTTGCCGACGATATGCGAGTGGCTTATCTACAGCCGTACATAACACCGTGTCGACGTTACTCGACATTAGGAAACTGTGCTTGCTGACCCCATTAGTTGGTCCAACCGGAACGAGACGGAATTAACACGCACTCGAATCGGGTGGCTCAATTGAACCTCCTCTCCCCCGGGTTTTTCCTTGGGTCAGATATTGAGGTCAGATCAAGGTCAAAACCAGACTGCTTCATCACTGGGAAACTGGCATCATGAAGTAGTTTGTACGCGCCCTTCGAGACCCTGGATTACTGCGGTGTCGAAAAGCTTCCCATTTTGACTTCATGAAGTGCAGGGGATGTCACTGACCTAAAACAGCCTAGACCAACCCTTGGCTTCGAGGAGAATGTAGCCTCGGATAGAAGTAAGTGGTGTGGATCGTAAAATGAAATGTCAACAAAATCGCAAAATTTTTCCAGGTGTACAGGTACGTACTTTTAAATTCCCTCATCCACGCCGGTCGTGTCGTTCTGCGTTGTGTATTGCGTTGAATCGCTGAGGAACTAGTCATTTCGTCAATTCCCTACTGTCTGTGGCGCATCGCATCTTCACCGAGTCTCAAATCAGGTCAACCCTCTTTGTCTGCGTCATCGCAAACAACCAAGCGTGAACGCATTTCATGCGCGGCATGACATCGACACGTTATGCGAGCTAAGCGTATTGCACATTGACACACCTGAAGCGATTCGACAAATGTTCCAGCAGCTCCGACCGGCTACACCACGCGCCAGACCGCACCCCTGCAGCTGCAAGGGCAAGGGTCGATGCTGGCGAGTGCAGACTCAGCCACGAGGCAGATAATTCGTTTAACCGGCTGCCGTCGGTCATGCTAAACATGGGGAACGTCCCTCGGTGCGAGGCAGATCTCGCAGCTCGTCTTATCGGAAGTGTATTTCGGACGTGGATAGCCACTGATCGTGCGTTGCATCCAAAATATGGGGGATTTTCGGAAATTCGTGTGTTGTCTGCATGTGTCTCGTGCCTTTCTGGCTTTTGTTGTGTGCTTAGATTTTGGCTTTGCATTATCACAAATTTGGGAAGCTTCTGATATGAAACCTCAGTAAATTGAAAAGAAGTGAAATTAAATGCTACGCATGGATGTTTTCCACCTGGTGCGCATGCACACTGTCAGATTATACACGTGGGCAGTGAAAATATAAATTCACCTGAACATAGTGGCTATGCCTATGGATTTTATTCTAGTCGAGTACCTGGTGATTTCCTCAGGTACAGTTTGGCTACGTCGCAGCAAAGATGTGTCAACATTTGATTGGCTATTGACTCAACGAGTGTGTTGGTGGCATGCGAGGTATATTGCGACTTCATAGGACATCAAGCATAAACCTGGCCTGCAGATGATTAGTGCTTTTATATATAAATCGCCTGCTTGTTGACGGCAGCACCACTCTTCCTTTCGCCGCTCTCTCTTTTCGCTCTAGCAGATTGTGTACGATCCAGAGCCACACTCTCCCTGAACGTTTGTTGCTTTACTGCTAGCATGGCTTCGTGGTGCCCGGAAAGGAGGGAATCCAGACAGGACGGGCTCCTTCACCAACAAAAAGAGAAACAAAGAGCTCTGTCCTGATTGAAGTGGCTCCTTACCGAGGTTCTGCATAGTGAACATGCCTATGGCGGGTGCGTTAGCCAATTAGACAGCTGTTTATGGTTTGTCACGTGATTAGGCCAATGATCATGCCACCGACCGGATGTCATCCGAGCTCCTCATAATGAACTTTTATTAATGACCCACCAGTCCGGATGGCTCGTCAATCCGTCATCGACCAACCAACCGATTAATCAAACAATCCATCGATACGCGTTGTGACGGTCTGGGAAAACCAGCCGATGAAGGGACGCTTCTCGTGTCATGTTTCCGAGAGACCTCGATGAAGAGGTGTAGGATTGCTTTCGGCTGAAGATGAACGGTTCTAGATAGCAATTTAAAGTGAACCCGAAGAGAATACAGCATGTGGTGTGCTGGATGCTGCTTACCCTGGGGGGGGGGGGGGGGATCCTTGTAATGCTTTTGCGGAGGTACCCTGCACAGAATTGAGGCAAGTCATTGATATCGTACAAGCTGAGCTCGTTCTGTTCTCAAGTAATTGTTGCTTGCTACCAGCACACACCAACTCTTCACAGTGCACGATATCCCAGCTCCTGGTTTGGAGAGATTGCTGTTGCGCATAAAGATTTAACAGGCGGCCCGGAACCCGGCCTGATCCCTAAATGACGTCACCGTCAGCAGCCCCAGCTGAACCTGACTGCCTGAGGGTATGTCAGCTTCCAGCTGAATGCGGCCGGTTTACCGACCCTCCAGCCCGCCACCACCACCAGCCCAGCCGCAAGCCACGGTCCGCCCACCCGCCCGCTTCTCCACCCACCGCTGGACTTCGGGTCGAAGCACCGTAGCGCGTCGGACCCGGCGCAGGCCGTGTCTGCACACTGGCCCCGGTAGCGCCGCCATCCATCACGCAGCGGACGCAGGCACCGGTCTCCAAGAAGATTCACTGCTGCCCACCGGAGCAGAGAGAAGCAGGCCGCGCCGGCCGGGCGGGCGCCGCTGCACCGTCCTGACATCTGGCGGCATCTTGGTAAACGTGTAGTGTAGGTATCGGCCGGGAAGACCAGCATCTTGTGATGCTTTATCCGGCCGTCTTCAAATAGCATCTGATTCGTGAGCGTCTCCGATTAACGTAACGCCTGCTTAATGACAGAGCTTTGGTTCAGCTGTGCCATGATGCTGGGCACTTCTAGGTGGCTTGCGTGGGGAAATAACGTGGTACGTTGTACCAGGGCCCACGCCAGCTTTTTTAAATGTCGACTAACTTCCATTGCTTATGACTGATGGCAGGGTCTTGACAATTGTTGCAGATATTTTTACGCTGAACATACCATTAAATGCAGCCACTCATCAGCTTTGTGCCGACGCAATTCATTTGGCAACGCATCTCATTAATTGCTTTTTGGGAGTTTTGTGAGTTTCTCCGTGTGAATGATGCAAATTGAGACAGGTGTACAGCACTGTTGTTCAGCCAATGCACTGTTGTTTTTTTTTCTTTTCCTTTTCAGCGGCTGTTTACGCATCCGCACCCCAATGCTTTCGTTTGCAAATGGTCTGATACACCGATATAAAGTAAACCACAATAATAAAGCATGCAATTGTTCGTTTGCTCGTACTTGTTGGCTTGTTTAGTCGTCCATACCTTAAATGGTCCTCTCTTTAAAGAGGCGTAATCTTGCACGCCGTAGGTTATTTTACTTTATATGTTGTCTTATCGTTTATCGTCTTATGTTGTCTCTTATCCCTAATCGTCTAATGAAAACATTAGGCATCGTTGTTTTATCATTTTTGTTGCTTTGCCAAGACTAAACTCATCACTTTGCTTTCTGAGAGGGCTTTGTAAGATTTTTTCACGTGTGCAGTAGGAAAATTCGGACAGACGGACACCAACGGTGCATGTTTGTTTCATCTTGTTTCTCCTATTAAATGGTGGGTAAACCCACATCCCGTTGCTCTTTTTTGAAAAGTGCTTTATTACTGATGCCATGAAGCTGCCAGTTGCTTGTTTTAATTGCCTTTAGCTTGAGCGGTGTTCCGTTTCATAAAAGTTATCTTGCACGCAGTAGGTAGCACTGCAGTCTCGCATACTTGGCCGTAATCTCGGAATACAGCACACGTCACCTGCACAGACATGGCTCCTGTTCTGAAGACGATGCCAGGCAAGGTTTCGGCCCGCGGACGCAAGAAGCGTCCGAAGAAGGGTCGCTCGGGTTCCAGTCGACGCAAGTCAGCTCGCTCCTCCAAGTCAGCTCGCTCCTCCATGAAGAGCACCTCATCCAAGGGGAAACGCGGCAAGGGCAAGAAGAGACGCCGCCGGAAGATGATCTCACCCGAGCAGTACGGAGATATGGAACAAGAACTGAAAACCTGCCGGAGAGAGCGCGAAATGCTGGAGATCAAGCTGACAGCGATGACGCATTCGCGAGAACAGTATCGCAAGTGTTCTTTCAGCTTGCTTGATGAGAACGAACAGGTTCACAGGCGGCTCATTAAGGTAGAAAAAGAATGTATTGAGGTGGTGGGATACCTGCGGCAGAAGAGAGGGGCCAACGAGGCAAGACTCGAAGTGGTCGAAAAGGACCTGGCTGAAGTAAGACAGGTGGAGGACAAGAAACGGAAGGTTTTGGCTGAAAGCTACGAAGCCAAGATAAAAGGACTGAGTGATGTCATAGGGCACAAGAATAGCGAAATAGATATGTTGCAATATGAGGTACAAAAGTTAAAAGTGCTAAAGGACACAAACATGAGGCTAGAGAACGAAAACGAAGACATCAGGAAGGAGCTTCTTGAAACCATGGTCCGACACCAAAACCAGCTAGTTGAATACGAGGCGATGATTCTGAAGGAGAAAAAGGATCTCGAACAGTTAGCGAGGACTGAGGTGCACAATCTGGTGGACAAGGCGCACGAGATGGCCGCCATCAACGTGGGCGCTACTACACTCGATGTGTACAACCAGAACCACTGCCTGAATCTGACTCTGCACAAGTACCAGCAAGAGCTGCGCGGGCTGGAGGCGGCCGCGTCAACCCGCAGTCGCCAGTTGGAGCAGGCACAGACACGCGCACTCCTGGCCGAGGCGGCGCTGCGCCAGCTGCGCCGGCAGCTGACGTCACTGCAGCTGACGGCCCAGCAGCTGCAGGAGCGGCTAGTGCAGTCCGAGGACGACCGGCTGCAGGAGGTCGTTTCGCTGCAGGAGGTGCGCGCCGAGCTGCGCGACTGGGCGCTGCACGAGCGCGAGCAGGACCAGCGTCAGGCGCAGCAGCTGCGCCGCCAGTTGGCGCTGAAGGAGGCCACCGTGCGCCGGCTGCGCCAGCTGGCGCGGCGCGTGCTGGCGCGGCGCTCGCAGCTCGAGGACTTCTTCCTCTCGGCGCTGGACCATGTGACCGGCGAGGCGGCGGCCGAGCGGCGCGGCTACTGGCGCGACGCAGAGCGCCAGTATCGTCAGCAGATGGCCCAGGGGCTGAAGGAGGGCGCCACGCCCCCGGAAGTGATGACGCTGGACGGCAGTCGGACCTCGTCATGCGACATTGGCGACGGCTGGCGGCGGCACAACGCCTGGCACCAGGAGGCCCACCAGGTGGACGTGGCCTCGCTCACCTGGCTGCAGAAGGAGAGCGTGCTGCGTGTGCTGTTCGCACACATCAACGGTGTCTTTGGCAAGGTCAAGCGCCAGAAGCGAGAGAAGCGGCCGCGGAAGAAGACGGCAGATGTGGGGGTGCAGAAGTTCGGCGGACAGAAGAGGAGCGTCAGCGGGCAGGGCACCGCGGGGTATCCGGTACTTAGTCCCTACATGGATAAGTCCGTGCAGATGCTGAATCTGTAGCAGATCAATGTCTGTGTTTCTTTCACCGGACGCTGTTTGCTTGAGTCAGTGGTCTCCCGTTTTATATCGGAACCTTTATGAAGCCTTATTGAATGAGAAAGGATTTCATAGGAAAGAAGAATATCCTTCAATAAGGAATCTTATTGAATGTGAACGCAGTGTGAATGGATAAGAAAGAAAATATCATCTATAAAAGGGTTAAATAGTAGGCAGCCTCTCGCAAAAGCAACGGATGGCACAGCACGTTTTGCGTGGCATCGCAAAATCCAAACAAACGTTCACTGACAAGGAAACCAAATGGCAAACCAGCCTAACGAAATGGGACACGCCCCTAAGCACCTGGCAAGCTGCATCACCATGCATTCCATTACCACGAGCTACCACAAGCAGCAGAATTGGATTTTCATCCTCCACCTTCTGCCTGACATGTCTGTGATCGAGGTTGTGATTTGTCCATGCTGGCTCAACATGCATCCCATTGGCAACAAAGAGCATTGCGATGAAGTGACTACAGGGTGCGCTGCAGGTGTTGATATCCTCCAGCATCAGCGCTAGCAATACTTTGATAGCCCGGCCCATGTACGGACCCCCGCGCTGCCGGGCCAGCTGCGGCGAGGTTTGAATCATGGTATGATTCAATGCTCAGGAGGACCGTCAACGGCTCCGATCAATACCACCGATTTGGGAAATGTGTCAACCGAGGTCAGTATCATCAAAGCTCAAAGCAAAGCCCGATCAAGTGTCGTGACTGCTCTTGCGAGCCTGGACTGGTCATTGGTGACACTTGCACCACATTCCCCTACATCTTTCTTGGTGACGGTGAGGGTAAAACTGTTTGACTGCAAGTGTACAACAAAATGAGCGCACTGCCTTCTTGTAACAGCCCCATATCCTGTGTTCCTTGTCTCCTTCAGAGCACCCTACTTTCTTTATTTGTAGGGTCTCACGCTCCGGCAGCGCTGACATTGGCTGCGGTTGGACATGTGCACGAACGGTAAACCGGCAGCATTGTACCCTCTCGATGATCCCTTCTGGTGCCATGCCGGCGACCTGCGGGTGTGCCTGGAATGCAGCCGCTAAACCCCTACACTTTTGAACAGAAAGTGAGGCCAGCAGCGAATCCTGCCAATGCCCTGGTTTCCCGCTCTCTTTTCGGTGCACGCTTCAGATTCTGAACGGATGCTTCGCTTGCGCTGCCTCCGCCGTCTGTCCACCTGCGTCGTTCTTATATACGATATACATGTGCACGAATTTGGTCCCTATGATGTGTAGGCGCTCAGCCGTGGTTGGTAGAAAACAATGCGATCAGCGTGATATTGACTTTCACGAGTCATGCCACTCTCGTGCACAAAGAGGCCGTCGGCAAAGCAGAGTTATGCGCATATGGAATCAGTAGCCCTGCCTCTTTTATATTTCTCATCAATCACTAAAGTAACACTTGGCTCTCCGACAAAAAAGGATACCATACACACACGCACACACACATGCACACGCACGCACACACGCACGAACGCGCGTACGCACACACGCACGAAAGCGTGCGCGCACGTGCATGCACACACACACGGTGTTGGCATCATACGTGTCAATCACGTTCGCGCGACTGTCCCCGCCCCCACCCCCACCCCCTCCCCGACTACGACACCGCGGAGTGTGATAGCAGTTTCTCCGATTGGGTATGTCAGAGTTGGAGCTGGAGCCTGGAGCTGGCCGCCCCCTCGTCGGAAGAGACGTTGCTGAGGAGCAGATGTGCTGCCCTGGAGGTGGGTTATTGGGGAGTGGTGTCTTCCCGATCGAACGCGCTCAATAAACCTTCCTCTTGGCTGATGCGGCATCTAGCGAGGTCTTCTAGGAAAGGGCAGTCCGCACTTCAGATGCTCTGTGCACTGCGCACCGTCAGATGCACTGGGAGCGTGTGTACTGATCTAGGATAAGCACGGGTGTAGGAACAGAGAGGGTCGACAGGGGACATGCCCCCCACTTTTCAAGGTGGGGAAGGGGCAGCAGAGTCAGCTGCGCCCCCCCCCCCCCCAACCCCCGCCCCCACCCACACACACTTTTCAGATCAAGGTTGTGTTCAGCTTGCTTTTGCACTACATTCAACACACATGCCGATTTACGTAGTTCACCAACCTCTATCCTCAAGATGTGTTATCCATTTCGTTTGCTCATTGGTCATCGCTTAATGTCACACGAGCGGGGTCAACGCCGCGCGGCCAATGGAGACTGCAACGCCGGGCGTCCAGGCAGTTGTTACTATGACTTCCGGCGCGCATGTTCAAAACCATATTACAAGGCTTTTTACCAGTAATCAATTGTGACTGAATCTTGAGAATTTAAGACCAGCCTGGATCAGCCATGTTAATAAGAATTTGGGACACCATTTATCTTCAATATACGTTCACGGAATCCTCGATATCTCTGAAGAACATAGAAAGACAGGGAACTGCAGCCTATGTGACAGTTGTTGGACCACCTGCGGTGATCACGGATGTTATTGCATCAAGGAGGGCTTCTGTGCTGATCCGGGGTCAACTGTGTGGGTCAGGAGACCACCCATGTCAGGGAGGGGAACAATGTGATGTGATATACCCTGCTAATGATCTCCGGATCGACCAGTAGATTCTGCCCCGTGTCGCCGGAAAGACGGCCAGAAGATACTTCGCTATGGGACGGAATGGCCTTTTAGCCGTTGACCGGGAACGGTAATGTGCCCCTGGTGTTCTTCTCAAGGGCCCCTTGTCCGGAAGGAAATAAGGGGTCTCAATATTGTTGAATAGAGGGTTGAAGTAAGTAAAAAAAAAAACGAGCAAGGGTATCTCATGATTGCCTCAGACCGCTCATTTTTTCAGAATGTATTATTGTAACAGCTAACATGAAAAGGCTTGAACATGCCCGCCCGCAACCTCGAGAGCAAGGACAGCGATGGCCTGGGTTGCGGCTTCCGTAAAACCGAACGGCGTCAGGCGCTGCAAGTGCCCCCAGACGGCGGGCGCCGTGTTGATCTGTCTGCTGGACAGATTGATAGCTACAGAAACACAAGATTAGAGATACTACCTGTACTCTTGAAGTTCCTCCACCAGATTCCAGCACCGCTTCGCGCCGCTCTAAGGGCCAATCCGCTATCATTAGTCTAAAAATGGTACACGTGAAACATGCTGTGAGGTCTGATGTCTTGAAGCGTTTAAAGATATGTTTAGGACCGTCATCATTGTCGTCCACCCGTTGGCCACGACTCAACATTAGCTGTTGAGCCGACGCCGCGAGGACTACGGAGACTACAATGCACGGAGTCAAGTTTCTGTTACTTATATTTGCGCGTGCGCATGCTCAAAATAACGTCACATAGGCTGTATTGCTAATTAATTTAGGTGTTTAAAGGCAATTATTTCAGAAGCGTCATCATTTTCGTCCATCTGTGGGTCACGGCTAAAAGTTAGCCAATGGACTAGCGCTCCGCAGACTATGGAGACTGCAACTCCTGGTGTCGAGGTCTTTGTTGCTAACATTTGCGAGCGCGCATGTTGAAAAGTCACGTTACGTGAATTGTATCACTAATCGATTCTGTCTGAATGTTGATCATTTTCTGACAAACATAGCTTGGCCGAATCAATAAATATTGTTGACCGCTCGATCTACAATCAATTTTTCTTCTCCAAATTTCTATCAGGCATATCGATCTAGAAGCTACCTTCACAAGGTCCTTAATTTCTGTAGAGCCCAGAAAAACATTAAACCTTCCGAATTCTATCGGTTGGAAAGGCCCCACTAATCCAACATAAATTAAGGGCGCCTGTGGACTTATTCCATGCGGTCCTTCAACGCATGATTTCTGCAGTTTATTCCCTTCAAAAAACAAACGGAATTGATCTCACGGTATCTTTCGGTCTCTGTCCTGGTTACATGGTAAAAATAATCATAAAACGAAGAAAGCCATGTTTTTCCTAACAAACAAGCTATATCAAGAAATGTTAGGGGGGGGGGGGTCACCATAAGAGAGGCTTTTGTCAACCCTGTGTTCCCCTTTGGCAAGGCTCTAGTTACGCCACTACCTACACACAAAAGCAGCTCAAGTTGTCTATGTTGAGTGATGGGCCATTAAACGCCCGTTGGGCCAAATCATACCCAAGGCAGGAAGCTTCCCAGAGGCCTTTTTTCTGCGGCAGTGTGGTGTAAGGAAAGATAATTCGGAAAAAGATACTGCTGCGAGTGTCCAACATACGTTTCACACACCAATAAGCAGTAATGCTGATCCATAAATATGCAAAAAAGCGGCCATACTATCAGTTAGCAGTCAGTCATGCATGAGACAGCCGAGCCTGGGCAATGGCCGCAGACGGCGGATGGGAGCAGGTCCGAGATAAGGAATGTAAGCTGAAGGGCCTTCATTCTGTGGCTCGGTTTATAAGGAAAACTTCCGGTTTTATGGCTTTTCACCTTGTTCTTGACGGTTTCAAGCTTCCGAATTTGTTTCCGCCTAGAATACTGCGATAAGTCTTATCTCTTTAAAAGCAGTCAGCGAAGTGAACGCGCATAAACAATCTGACGCACTGTGAGACATCGATTCACTTTCAAAATTCTCAACAGCCTATGCCAAGGCCGTATTTTGGCCTCTACCCCGTGTAGGCAGATGCCTTCTCAATGACCCAAAATGCCTGCCCGCTCGTGGAATTTCGGCTCCCCAGAAAATATAATGTTGAAATGGGCGAACGATCTTGGGAAGCTGGACAGCCTTATTTGCTGAATGACATAGATGAGTCGAATAGGCAAGGTTGTGTACCAGTGAGAAACAGCTCTAGACGCATATCTAGCATAGCAGGAATAACATCTGAATAAAAAGCGATAACAACCTTCGTCTCTACCCCTTTCCCGCTCAAACCCCCGCCCCCCCCCCCCCCCCCCCCGGTCATTGGGCTTGCTTTCCAGAAAAATTCCTGGAGTACGCCCTGTACTTGCTCCCCCTCACACACATACTTTTGAAATGTTCCTACGCCTATGAG